AGCGGTAGTTCTGATAAGAGCTGTTCTTGAAAAAGAGCCGTTTCTGTCAGAGCTCTCTCAGCCCCACCTACCTCACAGGGTGTCTGTTGTGGGGAGGGGAAGGGAAAGGAGTTTGTGAGCCGCTCTGAGACTCCTTTGGGTAGTGAAGGGCAGGGTGTAAGTCCAATCTCCTCTTCTTCTGGATGACCTTGGGCAAGCCGTAGTTCTGACAAGAGATGTCCTTGAAAAAGAGCAGTTTCTGTCAGAGCTCTCTCAGCCCCACCTACCTCACACGGTGTCTGTTGTGGGGAGGGGAAGGGAAGGGAATTTGTAAGCCGCTCTGAGACACCTTTGGGTAGTGCAGGGTGGGGTATAAATCCAATCCTTCTTCTTCTTCTACCTCACAGGGTGTCTATTGTGGGGAGGGGAAGGGAAAGGAGTTTGTAAGGCGCTCTGTGACACCTCTGGGTAGTGAAGGGCAGGGTATAAATCCAATCTCTTCTTCTTCTTCAGAAAGTAATGGTTTTGCATACTGTTGCCAATGACAACCTGCCGTTATCCAACTTCTTTGTCCCCTCAACCTCCCCAACCAGATTGCAAGAAGAATTTGTAAATCATAGTCAAGAACTAAAGTTGCTAGATGATGGCCCAAGGGCCATCTAGTTTGGTGTACTGGTCAGGAGTGTGGAGTCTTATCTGGGAGAACCGGGTTTGATTCCCCACCTCCTCCACTTGCAGCTGCTGGATGACCTTGGACAAGCCACAGTTCTTGCGCAGCTGTTCTTGAAAAAGAGCAGTTTCTATCAGAGCTCTCTCAGCCCCACCTACCTCACAGGGGTGTCTGTTGTGGGGAGGGGAAGGGAAAGGAGTTTGTAAGCCGCTCTGAGACTCCTTTGGGAAGTGAAGGGCGGGGTATAAATCCAGTCTCTTCTTCTCCTTCTTCATGAGGCATCGTTGCCTGTGGGGAGAACGGGCCACCTAAAACCCCAGATGCTCCTCATTTCATCCAAAAATTCTGGATGCGCCCCAAGATGTGTAGATTGGCCCTGACAAGAACCGCAAGACAAGACAGACTTCAGGCTGGTCTGCTAGGGCCGTTCTGATTGGGTTCTCAAGACTCCGGGTTAGGTAACTGATGTCCTTACCTGCGAGAAAGAAAAAACAGGATTAGGGGAATTCAATACTCCTCGCTGGGATTCCTTCCGCTAGGCCGAGGGAACTTCTGGTGGTGATTTAGAGCCTTCCGTGGCTCTCGGGCTGATTTCTTCCCCCACTCCCTCTGAGACATTTTAATCAAGACTCCTTCCCCCCCTTCCCATAATCTCTCCACTAAATGTGTTTCCCCAATCTTGGAGGGGAGAACTTTGTTATCATAAATCATAGGGCAATAACTCAGTTGTATCAGTGCTGACATCCTGTTTTCTGGAGTCAATAATGAATTACTACATTGCTGGGGATTTAATTATGACATAAATCACCGGGCCATTTAGGAAAGAGAAAGCTGTCTCTGTGCTAGCTCAGGAGAGCCGGTTTGGTTGATCCGCGTCTATCAGACGGGTTGGGGTTTCTGTAGACCCCCCCTCAGCCAGAAATCTCACAAAGTTTAATACTTCTCATTGTAACCCGCCTTACAGGACTGTTGTAAAGCTAACCTGGCATGAGCTGTATATGTGCTGCGCAGAGGTCTTTCAGCAAAGGCTTGGCTAGGAATGAGATGAATCGGCGTCGCTTCGAAGGCAGAGTTTCAAAGGAACAATTGCAAAATCACCATTTTCTCCATAGCTGAAACTTCTAAAGAAGAAGAAGAGATTGGATTTATACTCTGCCCTTCACTCGGAGTCTCAGAGCAGCTTACAATTGCCTTCCCTTCGTCTCCCCACTACAGACACTCTGTGAGGTCGAGGGGCCTGAGCGAGTTCTGAGAGAATGGTGACTGACCCAAGGTCACCCAGCAGCTGCACTGGAGGAGTGAGGAATCAAACTCGGTTCTCCAGATTAGAGTCCGTCACTTTTAACCACTACACCAAACTGATTCCAAGCCCAGGAGTCTCTGTGCATTTCCTGTCATTATCTGTCCTCCTCCAAGATGTTCAGGGAGGTATATCTGGCTCTCACCCCTTCATTTTGTTCCCACAACAATCCTACAAGGCGGGTGGGGCCGAGAGAATGCATCCCTCTATGGGCGCTTTCACCCATGCTAAATAATGCCATTTCAATCCACTTCAGCCACCGTTCGCAAGTGGGTTTTGCCATTTCACACAGTAAAACCCAGCAGCAAAGTGGATTGAAAGTGTGTTATTTACAGGGGTCATTTCCTGTGGGAGCACAGAGGAGCGGAGCTCCGGCAGTAAGGAGCCCAGGGGACGGGCACACGCAACAAGCCCCACCCCCTGCTCCCAGCAGCCCTCAGTCGGGCCACGAGGAGCAAGAAGCAGCCAGGTAGGTTGCAGAGCCTCCCCCCATCCCGACTTCAGGTACAAGCTCTCCCTCCTCTGTGAGGGCAGATCTGCGCGTTCCCCCCCCACATAGCTAGCATTTCAAAACCGTCCAGTGGCACCTTTAAGACCAGGTTTTATTCAGGTACAAGCTCTCCCTCCTCTGCGAGGACAGATCTGCACCCCCCCCCCACAATAGCTAGCAATCCAAAATAGTCCAGTGGAGCCTGAGCGGTGGGTGTTGCCTTCTGACACACTTCCGGTGAGGTCAGGGGGTGTGGCATATGCAAATGAGTTATGCAAATGAGTTATACTAATGAGCGCCTCTTTTTCTATGAAATGACCCCTGGCTATTTAGTATGTGTGAAAGCGCCTAAGTGTGTATGGCTGTTCTCTCTTTTAATGGGATGCCTCCCTTTGGCAGATTCCGCATTGGCTTTTCCCAGGGCTTTTTTGTAGAAAAAGTCCATCAGGAACTCATTAGCATAATAGGCCACACCCAGAAGCAGGAACTCATTAGCATATTAGGCCACACTCCTGACAGCACAGCTCATTACCACATTATGCCGCACCCCCATGTTACCAGAAGTGTGGTCATCCAGCCACACCCACCTTTTGCTTCTTATTCTGTTTACCTTGTTTTGTAGCAGGAACTCCTTTGCATATTAGGCCACACACCCCAAACGTAGCCAGTCCTAATGAGTCTCTGATGTTGGGTGTGGCCTATTATGCTAATGAGTTCCTGCTGGGTGTGGCCAACTCAGGAGCCAGCCGGAACTCCATTCCTGTCCATTCCTGCCCAAAAACAGCCCTGGACATAGGGCTTTAAAGCTTGAGTTGTGCCTAGAAACAGATTGGGAGCCAATGTAGACAGGCCAACAGTGGAGTGATATGGTCCCTATAACTCATCATTCAGCCTCCCGGCTGCAGCATTCTACACCAAGGGTGCGATCACACGCACAATTATCCCTGCCATAGGTGTGAATGCCAGGCAGATTTAAAGGGCGCGATCAGACAGAAACATCAGGGACAGCCCCATGTACAGTACATTGCAGTAATCTAATCTATATGTAACCATGGGGCTCCACTGAAATACATTGCAGTACAACCCTGGGGGCTGTCATTCCACTCTGTTGCCTCTCATTCCAGTCCCAGAATACTCCTGCTACCCCCTGGGAGCTGTCATTCCACTCTGGTGCCTCTCATTCCAGTCCCAGAATACTCCTGCTACCCCCTGGGGTTGTCATTCCACTCCCTGGTCTCTCATTCTAATCACAGAACACTCCTGCTACCCCCTGGGGGCTGTCATTCCACTCTGGTGCCTCTCATTCCAGTCCCAGAACACTTCTGCTACCCTCAGGTGTTGTCATTTCACTCTGGGGCCTCTCATTCCAGTCCAAGAACACTCCTGCCACCCCCAGGAGCTTTCATTCCACTCCGTGATCTCATTCGAGTCCCAGAACTCTCCTGCTACCCCCTGGGGGCTGTCATTCCACTCCATGATCTCTCATTCTAGTCACAGAACACTCCTGCTACCCCCTGGGGGCTGTCATTCCACTCTGGTGCCTGTCATTCGAGTCCCAGAATACTCCTGCTACCCCCTGGGGCTGTCATTCCACTCTGGTGCCTATCATTCCAGTCCCAGAATACTTCTGCTACCCCCAGGTGCTGTCATTCCACTCTGGTGCCTATCATTCCAGTCCCAGAACACTCCTGCCACCCCCCACCCCCCTGGGGGCTGTCATTCCACTCTGGTGCCTATCATTCCAGTCCCAGAATACTCCTGCTACCCCCAGGTGCTGTCATTCCACTCTGGGGCCTGTCATTCCAGTCCCAGAACACTCCTGCTACCCCCTGGGGGCTGTCATTCCCCTCTGGTGCCTCTCATTCCAGTCCCAGAGTGCTTCTGCTACCCCCTGGGGTTGTCATTCCACTCTGCGGCCTGTCATTCCAGTCCCAGAGTGCTTCTGCTACCCCCTGGGGTTGTCATTCCACTCCGTGGTCTCTCATTCTAATCACAGAACACTCCTGCTACCCCCTGGGGGGGGTTGTCATTCTACCCCGGTGCCTGTCATTCCAGTCCCAGGACGCTTCTGCTACCCCCTGGGGTTGTCATTCCACTCTGATGCCTGTCATTCCAGTCCCAGAATGTTTCTGCTACCCCCTGGGGTTGTCATTCCACTCTGGGGCCTCTCTTCTCAGGCACAGAACAGTCTATTTGGGCCCAAGGGCCCTAATGGAAAATTCATTCCGCATTTTCTTTGCAACTCTACTTGTACTGTAATGTATTTCAATGAAGCCCATGAAAGTCAATTGGCATTCCTAGCTCCCATTATTTCCAATGAGCCTTCAAGTGTTTCCCATTGTTTCCAAAGGACAATCCTGTCCCCACTAAGGGGCCTTCAAGTGTCTCCCCTCCTCTCCAAGGGGCCGTCCCGCCCTTCCTTCCAGTCCCTCCGTTACAGAGAGAGAAGCAAGAGAACCCAGCAGGGCGCTCGGAGCCTCCGCCCCCGGGGGCGTCGTCGCCGGGACCGAGTGATGCAGGCAGGAAGGGCGAGGCCCGTCATCTGCCGGCTTGGCCTTCCATCCCGAGCAGAGCGGAGCGGCGGGAGCGGCGTGCCCCGGCCCCGACCCACCAGCCCCGGCGATGTTCAGCTGGCTCGGGGTGCAGGGCGGGCGCCCGCGGAACGGCGAGGCGGAGGACGTGGTGCAGACGGTGACGGGCGGCCTGAAGGAGCTCTACGCCAAGAAGCTGCTGCCCTTGGAGGAGCACTACCGCTTCCACGAGTTCCACTCGCCCGCCCTCGAGGGCGCCGACTTCGAGAACAAGCCCATGGTGCTCCTCGTCGGCCAGTACAGCACCGGCAAGACCACCTTCATCAGGTAACGCGGCCCCCCGGCCCCCTCCCCGGCCGGCCGGCGGAAGCGCCGCTCTCGCCTTCGCCAGGAAATGGCGCGCCCGGCTCCAAAACGGGTCGCGCTTCGGCTTTACGCACCGCTTCTCCCCTGCTTTGCATTAGCCCTGCACTGGGCACAGGCACACCCCTCTGGTGCAAGGCGCCTGTGGCGGGGGGGGGGGGGGG